TTTGCCGGGGGTCTCCGCGCCCACAGAGGCGTCCACAGCCGCGAGGCTACCTCTCCGCACCTTTAAATGGAGTCCCGCCGCAGCATGTCGTTGATGACGGCGATGTCGCACAGGTCGTCGAGCGCCGCGGCGTCGAGCCAGTCCGGGAGCATGTCCGCTTCCTCGAGCTTCGCCTTGCGGTTTGCCGCGCGCTCTGCGGCGGTCGCGTCGCCCGCGGCGACCTTGACCGCGAGCGACGGCGGCGGCGGAAGGGAGCCCGGCGACGTCTCCGGCGAGGCCGCGTGCGCCGCCGCCGGCGACGTCTCCGGCGGCGGAAGGGCGCGCGCCGCCGGCGGCGACATCTCCGACGGCGGCGCCTCCGGCGAGGGCGCGCGCGGCGGCGGCGGGGGGAGCTGGCGGAAGAGCCGCGAGAGGACGGCCTTCTCGAGGAGCAGGTGCTTCTGGTGCTTCGTCGCCGCCGCCGTCGTGGCGTGGTCCAGGGCGAGGGCCTCGGCGAGCGCCGCGCCGCGCGCCGCGACTTCGGCGCGGAGGGCCGAGGCGAACGCGTTTTTCCCGGGCGGCTCCGCGCTCACGCAGAGCTCGCAGCGGAGCGGGCCGAACGCGACGGGCCCGTGGAGGGCCCCGTTGATGACGTCGTCGAGGGCGAAGGTGCGCCGCCCGATCGTCTCCGCGCCGCGCTTGACGTCGATCGCGACGGTGCAGCCCGGCTCCGCGCGGTCGAGCGGCGCGGGCGCGTGCCAGAGCGCGCACCAGTGCACCGCGTCCGCGTCGACGGCGGCGACGTCGGCCAAGACAGCCGGCGGCGCGACGAGGGGCCCGTCCCTGGCCCGCAGGGACACGACGAGGTGCGTCGCCGTCGGATCGTCGCAGCTCCGGAAGAGCACGGAGAGGTAGCGGCCGCCGAAGACGTCGTCCAGGGGCCGCTGGCGCTTTAACGCGGCGTAAGCGAGGCGCGTCGCGCAGGCCACGGCGGCCTTGGCCCGGCCGCCGTCCTCGGCCGCGGCGCTCCGGCGATGCAGCAGGTCACCGAGCGCCGACCCCGCCGCCAGGTCCGCCGCCGTGCGGCCCGCGCCGTCCTTGGCGCCGACGAGCGCCGGCCCGCCGAAGGCGCAGAGCCAGGCCGCCGTCGCCAGCAGGAGCGGATCGTCGTGGTCGAGCAGCGCGAGCTCGTGGAGCGCCGTGCCGTCCTCGGACACCGCCGCGCGCAGCGCCGCGCCGCGCGCGTCGACGTCGACCGTCGGCGGCCGCAGCGCGCGGCGGAACGCGTCGAGCCAGCCCACGAGGTCCGCTTCATCGTCCGCGACGAAGTGGAGGAGGCCCTGCGTGTTCCGCGCCGAGACGAGCGCGGGAGACGCGAGCTCGAAGCCGAGGCCGTGTTCGCGCCGCACGGACGCCGTCGCGACGCCGTCGCCCCGTAATCGGACGGAGAGGGAGGGCTTCGAGCCGCTCTCCTTGTCGCGGTAGCTGAAGGTCGTGTGTTCGAGCGCGCAGTAGCGCTTCCTGGCGGTGTCGCCGGTGCGGAACTTTTGCAGATAACCGCGCTTCGCCGCGGGCGCGGGCGCGTCCTCCTCGACGCGGCGGCCGTCGAGGAGGTTCGCCAGCCCATCGATGTCGCACCGGGCTGCGGCGGTGATGATTTCGACTCGGAGGTCCATGCAGCTTGGGCTTCTTCTCTGTCAGGTTTCGACCGCGACGAGGAATTGGGGCTGCTTCAGATGGCTGCCTCAGATGGAGCCAGCTGCCTCCATACCAGCCACGTCAACGAGACATGCTGCGGCGTTGAAGGTTTGTTGACTTTCAACCCTGAGTTATGGCATTGCCTCGGCGCGCCC